AAAAAAAGTGACTCGTGACCATTTTTCACAGGTATGATCATTGTAATATCCCCATAGGCACGTGATTTACATTCAGAGGCTTGACAACAGATTCACATTTATGTCCGTTGCTGTGTCCCAGGGTCATGTGATCCCCTTTTGCAACATTCTGACAAGCAAAGTCAATGGGGGAGCTAGATTCGCTTAACAACTGTGTTACTAATTTAACAACTACAGTGATTCACTTAACAAATGTGGCAAGAAAAGTCATAAAAATGGATAAAACTCCCTTAATGAATTTTTCACTTAGCAACATGGGCTCAGTTGTGGTCATAACTTGAGGACTACATGTATATAAGATTGCATAACTACTGGTAAATGTTATAGTTCTTTTTTAGTTACTATTTTTTCAAGCCATGCAGGCTTCAGACCCTTAACTGTCTCAAGTCCTATACTGGATCATATGGAAAGAGACTGTTTTGAGTGTTTTATATTCTTTCTAAATCCATTTACTCCAAAATGTGCACGCATGCACACCCATCTCCCCTGTGCTGACTGCACTGTATTCTGGGAAGTAGAGTGGAAAACTATTAGTATGCAACAATCTGGTTTCCATTTGCTTCATGATGAGCAGTATTCACACAAATGATGTAGAATTTCTCCCCTTTCTTCTGCTATATCAGTGAGCATATGTCAGCTTTGCTTGAAATAAACATTTCATGAATAATTCCCCAATTCAATCCCAAAGGTTCTTTTTTCATGTTTTCTTCTTTGAAAAAAATTCGCTTTTCATCTAAGCACCTTCTTCAGTTCTAACTTGAGTTAGAACCATGACTTGGATGACTAAGAATCTCCACAGCTATGCCCAATAATGACAAGTGCAAAGAGGTCATTCACTTTGGCAAACAGGCATTTTGTCTAGATAAATTAATTCTGTTCTCCTCCCTCGACTAGAGTTTCAAGGCAAGGATGAAAACAGTGGAGGTTAGGAAGTCAAACCCAAATCTACACATATCATACCTGCTGATAGCTCCCCGCCAAAGATGATGGCTTTTGCCCCTGAGGTTTTCACACAGTAAGTCAATGAATCAAGTCGCAAGTTGAAGTTGATGAGAGCTGCCTCAATACCCACTTTAGCCATGCCTAACCAGAAGCCGACAAACTCTGGTCGGCTCTCCATAAAGATAGCAATTACATCACCCTCACGAAAGCCCTGCTGGTAAAAGAAGTTGGCCACAGAGTTGGAATATTCATCCAGTTGCCGGAATGTCCATTTGTCATCAGTAGCTTCATAAATCAAGGCCACTTTGTCGGGGTATTTCCTGACCACCTTCTGGAATACCTTGGGAATATTGCTTTTGGCTTTCCTGTGATGATACAGTTCATATTTGACCCGCAATAGCACCGAGAGTCCTCTGAAAAAGGAATAAAGAAGTATTAATTATTATAGTGCTTTCAATTGTTTGAGGCATAGAGGCAATGCATGAGACATCTGCTTGGTCAGATCCACAGCCATCCTGTCAAAGAATCTGATTTTATATTATTAATACCTTTTATATTGTAACTGGCCTACAATCATATCCAGGCAAAGCTATTACAAATCCCCCAAAAGAATACATTTTAGATAAATTTGTAGAATTCTTGTTTTACTCTATTTATTCAAAATTTATTTTACTTCACCAGGGGAGAAAAAGCTCAACAACCCATATAAACACTGATTTAGTCTTCTATTACTATGCAGTTTCAAACATTGTGGCAATTCAAAGGACTAAAAACTAAGGAAGAAGGGAAATTAAGATGCTCAGAATGTGATGTAAAACTCACATTCCTGAAATTAAATCAAGCTTATTTCTGAATGAATGGATTTATTGCTGCATTTTAAAAATATTTCCTAATGTAGGAAATATTTCTACATTAGGTGTAGAAATGTTAAAAGAATGCTAATTGCTTGCTATCTGGGAAAATCTTTCCCTGAGATAAATAGAATACCTTCATAATTAGAAAGGTAGCACCGTACAAATTGATATATGGGAGATAGCTACAGCAGTTTGGTTTGTTTGTTTCAATTTATAATATATAATCATTCATCTCACATTTGTGACTCTGGGCAGCTTCAAATTAAAATATAAATAATACAAAAAGGAAAAAAAAAGAAAAAAATATACCATCCATACAAAATGTTAATAAAAACAACAAAAAGCATAGAATACAATCACTGGAATAGCATGGTAATTTTATGGGCTTCACGCCACTTTCTTATTCCCAGACCAGGTAGAAAAACCACAGAGGCCCTTCTTGGTAAGATAGAACAATGAGGTATAGATAATATCACCACTGGATGGATTCACAAATGGCTGACCAACCACACTTAGCAGGTAGACTTCAATGGAACTACATCTACATGGAGGGAAGCATGCAGTAGGGTACCTCAAGGTTCAGTCTTAGGCCAGTACTCTTCAATATCTTCATAAATGATCTAGATGAGGGGATAGAGGGTGAACTCATGAAGTTTGCAGATGACATCAAGCTGAGGGGAATAGCTAACACTTTAGAGCAGGGGTAGTCAACCTTTTGTATCTCTGTAAAATTTTCTAACCGCCCACCAGTTCCACAATAATGGTGATTTATAAAGTAGGGAAATAACTTTAGTTTATAAAATTTATAAAGCAGAGTTACAGCAAACCCCTACCACCCACCATGAAAGCTAGAACGCCCACTAGTGGGCG